TTATGATACAGTTTTTATAAATATGATTCTAGTAATGCTTTTAAAGAAATTTTTGGTCGTGATTTTTGGGTCGTTACATTATTTATGTATAATTACATACAATTAGTAACAATCACAAGCTTATGGTGTAGCTTGACCAATTCTAAAGGCATGGCGATGAATATAATCAAGAACCCCATAAGATTTACAAGGTATGGCAATAGCCTTGTAATATGATGTTTTAAGAAATTGTGATGCTTTTTTTAAATAAAAGCCCATTAAAACTTTAAATAGTGTAGGAGGGATTAATATCTAAATTAAGTAACAACTAATTATATCACTTTAATTGTTAACTCTATGGAAAAAAAATTAAACAGTAGGTTCACTGTTAAAGGCACAAAAAAACAAATCGGACGACAATGGCGAAACGGTGGAATACATAAAGATCAGAATATGTAAACACAGTTATATTAATCAAAATAACTCTTTGATTATTGTGAGAATATCACTTAAAACTCACAATGTTTACAATGTTTTCCAATGATCATAACTCGACCTAAAACCATGTGTATATATACTCCTAACTACCGACTTGTAATTAGATTACAATTAGGAAACTAGAAACCTACTTGTTTATGATTTCCTAAAAACTAGGTTGCTATTACTTGGTCTCCAAATCCTACTCGACTTAGGATTTCAACAATACATACGTCCCTTGAAATGTGTATATCTTCTTTTAGCATCTTTGTTTAAATGGACTTCCTTTCATAGTGAACTTTGTCGAGAAGGCATTGATATTCCTATGATTTTTTATCCTGAGTGTTCGTTGCAGCCAAAATATTTACTTAACTTGTTTGGTCAATGTGATTGTTGTAAGGACTTGGAATGCCCTATCTAGTTTGTTGGAGCTTTCTTTCACCACGCATTTGGGTGTTTTAGATGTTATGATTAGGCTGGACTCTACATATGCCCTTGGTTAAGAAGAATGCATTGATTGCTATTGTAATGATGTATTGGGTGCTTTGGAAGGTTAGGAAAAAAGGTGCTGTTCAACAACATTCAAAATGAGAGTTGGTTTTCTATTTTATTGTTGGTTATTAGTTTATACCTTTGGTTTACTAATAGGAACCAAAAGGTTAATGTTAGTTGGATTTTTTTGGCTTCAAATCCCCTTGCACACCTTGTAAATGTGTGCTAGCTCCTTGCTACTTTTTTGATTTCTAATATATAACCATTTAGTCGTTCAAAAAACAGGAAAAGTTAATTAGTTATGGGTTTCTTTGCCTAAGTTGACAAGAAAATAGCGAATGGTTTTTTTTTTTTTTTTTTTTTTTTTTTTTTTTTTTTTTTTTTGTAGAGTATGGAAAGAAAGAAGAAGATTTAGGGGTGTGTGTGATCAATCGCTCCTAAGAGAAGATATCATGTGCTTGTTGAGACACTTTTTTGTTTTGTGGTAGGCTTTGATAAACGATAAACCCTAATTAATGTATGGGTAACTTATGTTATGTTCATGTGAATGGTTGGGCATTAATTATACAACATATTTCAACAAAACCACATGGAAATTAGCAGGACTATGAATCCAATTGTTTTATTAAAGGGTTAATGTCATAATATAACATCATAGGTGTCAGGTTTTTAAACATTTGCTTCATTATCTATTTTTGGTTTGTGACAAGTCACTATCATCGTCCATATGGCTTTCTTTTATTTTTCTAAAATGAAATAATATTATCTTATCTTATCGTTTATTTATATTTATAATATTAATAGTTAATAAAACAATCTCTTAAATGAATTTGTTCATCATTTCTTATGAGATGTGATTTTCACATAACACAACTCACATGTTCATCAATAAGAAGAACAACCCTTTGTCTTCCCCTACACATATGATATGTCGGAACCCATAAATCGAAAACTTCCATGGATATATTGAAGATTCATTGTTGGGTAAGGACAATGAAGTTTAGATGATGATCGCTGACGGTATGATATTAAGTTTTTTGTTTCTAAGTTTAGGTTTCTATCAAAGAAGTGTTTGAGATTGAGTTTGAAAAATGATTACCGACTTATTAGTTTTTCAAAAAACTAAAAAACTTTAAAAAATATGTTTAAAAGATAGAAAAATGTTTTTGAAAACAACTTTTTAACACTATCGAAAAAGACTTTTTAATAAGTCACTCCTTATTTTTGAAAAAATGACTCATAACTTCTTCATGTAAAATAACTACAATATTTTTGTAAAAAAAAATCAGAACACTTTTTCTGCTTAAATGGTTTATCAACTTATACCACATAATCTAATCCAAACATTTTTTTAGAAACTTGTTTTTATCACCAAATAAGCTAATAAGCATTTTTATCAAAAAGTGCTTATTGAGTTAAATAAGCAATCCCAAACCCCACCTAGGTTTTGCCTCAAAAATCTCTATAAATTCTTTGTATAAATCTAGTGGAAACTCTATAAACGAACATTAAGCATCACCAACACCCAACATACCATTCAAACTCAAAAGTCGATAACATAATCAACCAAAAAATGAAACCATGGTCATGGTGATAGGTGGTATTCATAATTTAGACCATTTTACAATTATGCAATGGATTTTTCCCATAAGAACAACCAACATCAACTTCATTGAGAAGATTATTAGTCTTAATACAAAGAGATTTCGTGATTAAGTAAACAAGTCTATGCAATGGAAATTTCCCATGAGAACAACCAACATCAACTTCATTGAGAAGATTATTAGTCTTATTACAAAGAGATTTCATGATTAAGTAAACAAGTCTATGATGACAACAACTATCCACCCAACACCAAATGGGAAACTGACACGTTTTATATCATTTCCCCCAAATTTCCACCTCCGGTGAGTTCCTAATCAGAAAATTTAACAATTTCCAAAGAGAACATCTACCAGGCGCATGTAAGATTATGCTATTTTTTTTTTTATCACAAACACAAACACAAACCCCAAAAGCCAAATCAAGCCACTGAAATTAGAAAATTATTATTTTTATTTTTTAGATACGTGGCGGCTGTTGGTGGCTAGAAACAGGGTTGTTATGAACAGAAGTAGAGTCGCTATTTTTCAAAGAAAGGTTTGCAAATTGGGAATCGAGTCTTTCCCGACTGGCGGTTCTCCGGTGGTGGCTTTGTGGTGGTTGTGGTTGTTGTTGGTGGTGATACAAGGCTCTTAGTCTTCCGAGCTCTCTCTCCAAAACTTCATGCTCCACTAACAAAAAAAAAAAAAAATTTAGTTTTCGTATATGAATAATTAATATTTTCAACATAAAAATTTGTTGACAACAATAAACAAGTTAATGTTGAAATGGAATGAGTCATTACATTCCATGATCATGATTTTTATATCATAATTAATGAACAGCTGGAATTGAATTGGTTTATATTGCAACTTTTCATTCTTTCAAAAGCATGGTCAATTCCATTCCATCAAGGAAACCAAACAGCATTTTTATATTCCAATGGAATGAACCATTCCTTTCCTTCTTTGATTCCATGATACCATACAAGTTTATTGGTAAGGATCTTTGATAACTCAAAATTTGGGCTTGTATTTCATGTTTTCTCTTTTTTGGGAATAAAAATCAAAGAGAAAACATTATTCCAATTTTATTAAATTATTATACCTATGAAATATCATTGCACAAACAATTTTTTCCAAACTCTTCACTTTGACACCATATAAAGATATTATCCTACACTGAACTACACTTCAAAGAAAATTCTTTTTTGGTATATTCTTATACAAATAGAAAACTTTATATTTGATACAATGATTTGATGGAATCTTTAACATCTCTAAAAGACTAAACTTTTAGTTTTGTAAGGATAGTGAGATATTTAACTTAGTGACCTAATTGGCAAACAAGATAGCTGGTTACCTACATTAGCAAAAATGAGATAAGTGGTAAGTGATGCATATAGAAAATTAGAAACTTACAACACTTAATAAGTTGCTCTTGAGCCAAATTCTCCAACCGTTGTTTCAGTGCCTTGTTCTCCATGCTCAAAATAAGACTTTGCTGGTTTAAGAACTCCAGCTCAGCTGACACCTCAGAACCATCTGCCTGAAATCACAGCATCATAAGGATTAAGAATCTTTCAAAAGTTATTTCTTTTTTTTTTTCTCAAATCGTAATCTTAATCTTACCTGTAAAGCCTGTACATTCCTTTCCAGCTCAGCAATATACTGAAGCTTCCTCACCCGTGACCTTTGAGCAAACTGCCTGCATCCAAAAGATGATAAATTTCCACAAACATGAAAAAGTTTCAAACTTTATAAAAGTTTCAACAACATAAACAGATATAATCATGTCCTTACTGTTTGGCACGTTTTGTATCAGTTTCTGGAGAATCTTTTCTTTCATGGTTTGCATCTTCAGATGAATCGTGTGGGCCCGATTCACCTCCATCTTGTTTTTCCCTAAGTGATGAAACAATCCCACGAATCTCATTTGAAGCACCCAATGATACCGATCTTTGAAGACCATTTTGTGATGAAGGTGAATCCCATGCCCTTGACTTAGGATTCATATTCATCAAAGGATTATTTGGGACACTTCTAGCATCTTTATAAAAATCAAAATCATGGGACCCCCATGAAGGAACAGAAGTTAAGTTTCTTATCTTGTGTTCATCTTTTACACCGTATTCTACATTAGCAGAATTGGCTGCTTCCAGATATGTAAAAGAGTCACTTGATGAACGTCTATGGCCTCTTTGGACAGGTGTTTCTGGTTCATTAAGAAGCTCATCAAGCCAAGAAGGTTGTTCTTCAATTAGAAGGCTTTCAGATGAAGCACGTTGATGGTGTGAATTGACATCTCTGTACTTTGGTATTCCTTTTGGTCCAATTGCAGGATTTGAGATGTAATCAGAATATGATGGAGGAGCGGTTGGAAATGGACATTTAGGGGGGAGTAAAGAGTGTCTTCCATTGTACACCATGTTTCTTGTTGTTGATGGACCTCTAGAGTTTGCCATATCCAAATCACAAACCCTGCAAAAGCATAAAACAAATGGAGTCTGGTTAATTTTCATAATTACTGTCTAATTCCTGACGATTTTGCTACTTCAAGATACAGTTATAACCAAGGATAACCCTAATAAGCTATACCACCAGCTGAACATGAAATCAATAGTACAATCTGGAGCAGCTTCAAGATTTCAAACTTAGTCAAAGGCAAACACTCATACAACAATCAAAACCGGCGACAAGAATCTTTTTCACAACAAAACGACAATTCGAATCTATTTACAATCATAAGATTCATCCCCTTCGTGAAATCTTACCCCGAGGCTATGTATGGTCTTCTTCTCCGATAATCAAATTAAACTATCTAAAAACTCGAATTGCAATAACTAATCCATCGTTTATATTTTCTGAATAGACTGGGTGATCTCCGAGCTCGAACTAAGGAAGAAAGTAAGAAACAGGTATTTCGAGAGAATTTAAACTGAGTTTTACCTTTAATTTACGCAGTGAAGATCTTGAAATGCAATGTGATTTACATGGAAACAGAGATTGAGAAAGGAATCGAAGTGCTGGTCCTTCTCGCTGCTTCTAGTTTTCCATTTTTAGGGTTTTCTTCGTCTTGGAAGATCACTTTTTGCCCCCCGTTTTTGCGTTGTGCTGTCTTTCGAATCTTTTCAATTGTCGTTGACGTGGCTTGGGTTGTTTATCGATGATTAAGTTCCTCACTTTTAATCTCGTGTGATTGTGGTTTGGTCATAGATCGATTTTTAGATTTTTCAAAAAAGAAATTAAAATTTTTTCCTATTAATCCTCTATCCATATTAATTTTAATATAATATGTGTCACACAAATATATTAAAATATTATTAGTTTAATTAAACATGATATATGCCATAGGATATGAGGATCTATATAGGAAAGAAAATATAAAAGAGTATTAATTTGTTTTTGAAATTGTATCGTTTTGCTTTTGTATTTTTGGTTTATTGTTCAATTTCTATTTGGTTTGATTCGATGTATAAACTGCAATAGGTAATTAGATGTTGTACACTTTAATATATTATAGTCGTTTTAAAAACGCAAAAACAATGGATTTTAGTTATATTTCTTAGGTATATAATAAGTATAACCCAAACATATAAAGCAACTTTGTAGCGAATTAGTGTCTAAAATGCTCGAAAACATAATAGAGATAGACTTAAAGTAATATTTTTATGGTCAAAGCAAATGTAAAGCGATTTTGTGGCGAATTAGACCATCCACAGCAGTGTATAGATCTTGGGGTCGTTTGATTTGCACTTACCCGATCTGGTGGCTGACTCGGTAAGCAATAAACGACCAAGGGGCTGACTCGGTCAAAAAAAAAAAGGCTGACCAATACAAAAAGCCTAGTCTTCAATTTCTTCTCCTGCACCCTAACAGAAATCGCCGTTCGTTCTTCCCTTCCTTTAATATTCAGCGCGACAACAAGCAACAAGATTTTTCCTCCAACTTCCGGCCACTTCACCTCCTGCGCAGACGACGACACAGCGCCGGTGAGGAGCTCGACTGTAGGTAATGTTTCTCCGTTTTTTTTTCTTCTGAAATCACAAAACCCTTCATGTTTGCTGTCAAATTGATGATTTCATTCTGAAATCAAAGTTTGAAATCACTTCTTTCATTATTCTTGGATTCAATTAGATTGAAGGGTTAGCATAAAATCAATTCATAATGTGTTTTTGTTTATGAAATCTGATTTTATCTATATGAAGGAATGAATATTTGTGTATGAAATCTGATTTTCTCTGTATGAACGAATGTGTGATTTTAACATGAACTAATGTTTGAATAAAATCAGAATTTAGGTTGCTGAAATGAACTTATGTTGAATATGTTGTACATGTTTGAGTGAAATCATACATTAAAAAAGTGTTATATGCTTATAAGATCAAAATTTAATTGTATGAAATCAAAATATATGTTGTATATGCTGTTAAAAATGTGATGAAATCACATTTATGCTTGATTTATTTGTAAATGTGTGTTATGTGGATGATTAGCTATTTTCCCCCTTTTTTACAATAGACATGATAGATAAAATAATTAGGGTTAGTTGGAAGTCGGAATTGGTGGACAAAACTTTTTTGGAAGCATTTATACAAGAATTAACAAGCAATGGTTGGGAGGGTAGTGGCCTATGAGCAAGCTCATGGGTTGTGGTCGCGGAGAAATTGAAAACAGATCATAATTTTGTTGTCGAGAAAAAACAAATGAAAAACCGATACACCTATCTAAAAGCAAAGTATGCAGTGTGGTTAAAACTTAAAAACAAAACAGGAAATATTTATGATCATGTAACGAATTCTTTTAACATGACTAATGAAGAATGGGAAGCGGAAGCGAAGGTACATATATACATATTTTTTAAATTAGATTATTTTTTAATACTATAATAATATTTATTAAATTTTTAATCAGTTGAACAAGTATGTAGATAAGCAGAGAAATGCACCCCTCCCTTGCCCTGAACTTTGTACCCAACTATTTAAAGGGGCGACCTCAACCGGTGTTCACAGTTGGGGACCATCTTCGACACTACCTCATCATAATGAAACCTTCAGTACACATGATTTTGAGGATACAGAGATGGAAGAGCTAGCACCTCATACAGATACCCCAAGCTCAACAATACCTCAACCTACTAGTGAGGAATCTTCTGGGCGGACAAAAAACAAGGGGGGAAAACGAAATGGTCCTAAAGAAACCACACTTGATGATGAGTTGAAAGAAGTTGGAAAAGAAAGTATCAAGGTTGCACAAGCATTCACGGAAGCAAATAATCTTGACAAGGAGATGGATGCTTGTATGGCGAAGTTGACAAGCTTGGAGTGGGGAGAATATCATCTGAAATACACTACTGCTCTTATGTTATTTGCTGAAAGTGCTGGTAATAGGAAAATTTGGTTGCGACTTAACTTGTCAACTTGTGAGTCGTGGGTAACAAATTCGGGAAGAAAGTTTTGATTAGTTGTTTAACATTAGTATGTTATGGTTCGTTGTTTGACATTAGTATGTTATCGTTCATTTTTTGGCATTAGTATGTTATATGAATTTATATGTTATGGAATGTTATGCTTTTAGTATTTACATGTTACAGTTTGTTATGTTATGGATTGTTATGTTACTAAGTGTTATGTTATTGATTTAAATGTAATTTGTATTTGATATCTAACAGGACACGTGGATAAAGAAGGTGAATTTTTATATTTTGTTATATTCTCGTGGTATTAGTTGATGTTGGTCCGACAAAGGCAAGGAATAGTTAAGAGAATAACAGCTAGCGAACAAGTAGTAAAGGGGTATGTGTATACGCAAGATTTGATACACGAATGTCCTATACAATGTTACGATATGATACGTCTTTCACAAGATGCATTTGTACTATTATGAAATCACTTTACACAAAGAAATTGGTTGCAATATAGTAGGACGATAAGCGTTGAAGAGAAGATGGCTATGTTTTTACATGTTATAGGACATAATGAACATTTTCGAGCTGTTAAACAAAGATTTCATCACTCCACACAAACGATTCACCAATGTTTTCATGAGGTCTTACATGCAATGATGTGTTTTGCACGAGAAATTATAGTACCAACCTCATCTAAACCAACAAGAAATGCCTCAGAACGACATAGACGGCTAATGCACATATTTCCCGGAGCAATAGGTGCACTAGATGGAACACTTATACATGCAGTTGTGCCTGTTGATCAACAAACTCGTTATAGGGGAAGAGGAAAAGGTGAATGTTATCAAAATGTAATTGGAATTTGTAATTTTGATATGACATTCAGATTTGTATGGGCTGGATGGGAGGGCATAACACATGATTCTAAAGTTTTGAAAGAAGTTGCATTTAACCTGACTTCCGGATTTCCATTCCCTCCACCAGGTTTGTAAGTTTACTATACGTTTTATTATATGTATTGTTTATATGATAAATTTTCCAATCATCTATAGATAAATATTACCTTTATGATGCCGCATACTGTAACATCCCAAAAATGCGAGTCAAAAATTTCGTTTTTTTAAAACATGTACTTAGTAAAACATTAGGAATAATTCATTCAACAAACATTTCATTTCACCAAAAGATGTTGCAGATCAGAAAACATTGTCATAATCATAAAAATGTCAGAGTACAATTTTCCCAGGAAGATATCGTAATGCGAAATATGAGCAGGTGTGTGTGTGTGATGTAGCGCTATCGCGCCAGCTCCTTCCCTTTCGAAGAAGAGGTACCTGAAACCAAAACTGAAAACTGTAAGCACGAAGATTAGTGAGCTCCCCCATAATACCTCATACCATGCAAGCATACAACATGCAGCTAGGAGATACGGGCCTTGCCCACACTCATGGAGATACAAGCCTTGCCCACACTCTGCTAGCCGGAAGATACGAGCCTCGCTCACACTCCACTATCTGGGAGATATGGGCCTCGCCCACACCCCACTCTCGGAGAGATACGGTCCTAGCCCACACTCAACCGCTAACCCATATCATACAAGTATCACACAGACAACAAGTATAGACAACTCTACCATACTGGCATATATCATAATCAACTCAACTAAGAGATACGGTCTCGACCCACACTCTAATACTAACGTCTCATCTATACGGGCCGGCCTTGGTGCCTTAGACCCGTTACTACTGGAAGGAAACTCACCTCAAAGTAACTGCCGATATGTGTGGAAATTGACTGTCTGCTGCTGTTGCCGCTCCGGAAATCCTCCGGCTATAATTCCCACAAATACTCAGTCAAATACTGCTAACCGCCTCCAGGGTAAATTGTCCATTTACCCTTAACAAGTCATGAGTCAAGTCACAGTCAATTGCCAGTTGACTAGACTCGCCAAGTTGGCTTGCGAACTCACCGAGTCCCTTTCTCTATACCCAAGGCTAATAGTCCTTCATCCTACTCGCCGAGTTGTATGAACAACTCGCCGAGTTCACCTTCATCAGAAGAACACTCTAAGTTGTGACTCGCCGAGTTGTTCTTGAGGTAAGAAGATTGCTATGAACTCGCCGAGTGACTTCATGAGTGAGTCTAGCTTCCGACTCACTGAGTTACACCCCATGACTCATTACTCCCACCTACCAAATGCGAAAAAGGGGAAACTCGGGGACTCGCGACTTGACTCGCCGAGTCAGATGAACGACTCGCCGAGTCGGCCACATGCAAAAACTATACACGCGATTTTGCTTGGATCTAGCTCATGCCTTTCATATATCTGGGTTCCTAGGGCTTGGTTTACACGTAAAGCTTCCACCTTTACGTGTAAATAAACATCCATGAGAGTTTTAGGGATCAAAATGCACCAAAAGGTAGATCTAGGGCTTACATGCACTATGATTCCATAAAGGCAGTAGATCCAAGCTCCTGGAGCTCAATCATGCCTAGATCTAGAGGCTAAGCAACTTATCATCCACTCTAATACACAAACAAGCTTGGGGAAAGGCTCAAGAAAGACTTTCATGGAGCTACAAGGGACAACAAGCATAAAAACAGAGGGAAAATGATTTATACCTCAAGGAAATCACTGATATAACACCAATAAGCCTGGCTACCTTCTTCTCTTCTTGATCTACTCTCCTTCCCTCTCCAAATCTTCAAGAAAACACACCAAAATGCTTCAATCTCACAAGGAACAAGTTTAAACGAGGTATAGGGCTCTGAGGGTGAATGGGGTCGAGCTTGGGGCGGAAATGAGGGGTTTAAATATGGTGCAAACCCTTGAAATTTAGGGTTTCATCAGACAGCGGTGACGCCGAGTCGCCAACTTAAACGTGTTCCCGGACCCCATCCCTACTCGGCGAGTCGGACCTACAACTCGCCGAGTCCAAGGCTAAAATGACAAATTCTTAGATAAATTTTATGTACCAGGAACCAAGTGCTACACATACACCAACACCTGTAGATTTATGGCTCCCTACCACAATACTAGGTATTGGTTAGCCGATTTTCGAAGAAGCATAGCTTTAACAAAGAAAGAAAAGTTCAATCATGCTCATGCACAACTTAGAAATATCATTGAACGTGCTTATGGTGTATTGAAGGCGAGATTTCCAATTTTAAAACAAATGGCTCCTTATCCTTTTCCAGTGCAAAAAGACGTAGTCATTGCTTGTGTTGCGGTCCATAATTTTATAAGGAAATACAATATTGAAGATGAATTATTTACGAACTTTGAACAAAACACTATGGTTACTCCTAATTTGGGTGGTGGAGGAAGTGAGGACTAAAACATAGAAGTCATAGAATATGATTCAGACGCCGTTGATTATATGACTACTTTACGTGACCAGATTGCTAATCAATTATTTTCAAATGGTTGACGTTAAATGATGTACTTTTTTATTATGTATGACAATTTGTATTTGGATTTTGTATTACACTTTGTATTTGGATTTTAATTGATGTATGTTTAATTTGGATTTTATATGATAATTTGTGTTTTTATAATTTTTTTTATCCAGCACAACAAACAACACAAGGGTAATATGGTCATTTTTTTCATTTAGCACAACGATTCAGATAAATAATCAAACAACATAAACTCAGTCAGATATGGACTCAGTCAGCTTCTAACCCAGTCAGCAACTATCAAACGACCCCTTTGTCTATCAGTTACATCTTGCAAATGATATGGACTGTCATGTCATTTGATATTCCTTATTCCACTTTAAATATATTGAAAGTACATTTGCAATTAATATATATATATATATATATATATATATATATATATATATATATACATATATATATATATATATTAATCAAAAAGTAATAATATAATAGGATGAGCCACTTGTATGTTTTGAAAACCTTACAACAGTTGAAAGAAGAGTGTGTATGTGGCATATCAAATTGATTATGTGGCACTGCAAAAGCTGTAACAACCATAAATTTTACGCTAAATTTAAAGTTTTTCAATCATAAATAAAATCCATATAGCATTGTTTACAAAATGTTTTCAAATCATTTTCCATCAGAGTGTCCCAAAAATCATAACATAAAGATGAGGAGCGATACGGTCATGCCTTCGCCTTTCCACGATCTCCTGAAGTACCTGAAACAATAAACTGAAAACTGTAAGCCTGAGGGCTAAGTGAGCTACCCTCAAAATACCAATACCACACTGGCAATACCATAACAGTAATAATCAATCAATCAACATGCATATTGGGCCATTGGCCTGACTGGACCGCCCTACCGGGCCTACAGTCTGTCTGAATTTATCCCAAGCCTTCGGCATGATTGGTCCGCCACGTGGACCTACAGTCTCCCCAGACCGCTCATAGGGTATATTGGCCTTCAGCACAAAGCAGGACCGCCTCAACCAAACCACAAGCAAATAACCATGTGCGCATACTATCATATACTATCATATACAAACATCAAACATATTTGTCTCACTGATCATTAATCATAGAAATCTCCTGTAACTAGAGTACCGACCTAACAGGTCACTAACATACCAATCCCTATGTATCATAAGAGCATAATATATTGTCTACCCCGATTCCGATCTAATAGA